GCCCAGCCATGGGCGGACACGAGTAGGAGGACAATGTTGGCGCCCAGGAGCACCCCGACCAAAATGACCTCGAATGCGGTGGATATGTCAATGGTCGGGGCGAGCCACGGCAACTCATAGCCGATGCGCCGCCCAAGGGAGACCGCGATCGGGCGTTGGACAGTCCATCGACCAAGCCGGTGCGCCAGCCGCGCGATCAGCCAGACGCCCAGCAAAATAGCAATCCATATTCCGTACCAATCAACGGAATGGATTTGGCTGGCCTGTTCATACAGGTCTGAGAGGGCTGGAGGCATTGTCTCTGGGGGAGCGGAAGTTGGACCTGGCAGATTGGAGATGGGAGATGTTGGCCTATAAGCATTTTCACGGCGTCGGCCTTGGGCCACCGGTACACCCAGATGCTACATACTTTCATTCTTGATGGTTGACCTCCGCGGCTCTCCTGTTGTAGTTGGAGATGGTGAGAAGGTCAAATATATGGCCGGCACGTGCATTTGCCCGTTTAACCACGAGGTCAAGTCCGGAAAACGCTGGGTCCTATTAGCCCTTCTAATCCCATGTCGGGGCATCAGAAACATGAGGTGCATGAAAGGTAATCTATAGGAGCAGTAAATGGGTATTTAGCGAGCTTCTGCTTCTGTCCGACAGGTTTAGATTTTGACGGCCTTTTTACCATGGTGGCTTATGGAAAATCACCATTTCATCTTACTCTAGCTCTACATTATGCTGACAAAGGTTGGATTACGTGGAAATGGGATTGTGTCCGACCGCTACGTATGCCGCTCTACAGTACAGAAGCACCGCTTGAACTCGAATCAGCTATGGGAGCAAGCTAGTAATTTTACAGACCCTTGTACTGTACGGAAAACTTCAGACACTCCACTGCGGAGCAAACATATGAAATGCAAATAAGGTATATAAAGAAAAATAAAATACAGTCTCCTCGAAGTCCGTGCAGTTTTGCGTCCAGGGATAGACAATTTGCTGTAACAAGAGTTCAAAGGCAAGACTCCAGCCGGCGGATCACACAGAATGTTTCCACGGGATCCAATTCAGGGATACAGTATTAGGAGCGCCTGCCCCCATTAAAGTGTCCTGTGCGACGAGATTATTTGCATTTGTGGCAACTAAGTTTGAAGCAGATGTCCGCGAGTCATTCACTGCTGTTCTATTCATTCATTGACATCTCACAGTAATACATAGTAAAATGTGATCTAGGGAACCATTTGTAAAAAAGCACCAACCTATCATGAACGACATTGTATCATAATTCATGGACATATAGACAAGCAAGTTTCCGCGTTCCTACTACGCAAGCGGTTCCCGTTTCTTGTGAGCATTGAAGCCACATACCGAGGTCGAGTGACGATGCTCGACCTGGCCTTCCGGCGCCGTGACATGACACGATGACTCCTGTCTGTTGGCACCGACGTTATCGAACGGGATGACTTCACTCCCCTGGTAATCCACCATAGTCGGTAGCCATGGGGGTACTGTCGACTCGATGTTCCGAACAGGGATGGGCGCGAATGGTTGTTGATGCAAGCTGTGGCGGTGGAAGTCCGTCATAGGCAGTGCTGCGGAAACAGGCGTCAATGGATCCCAGGGAGGCGATAGCATTGGAGACTCAGCCGGGAGCGCCAAGCTGCCGTCCTTAACATGCTGCAAGCGAGGAAAGCTCGGTGGCGCAGTTTCTATGATAGAAGAGATCCCGAGTGCATCAGACGAGGGAATAGCCTCCTGTGGATCAAAGGAGGGACCCGGAGGGTACAGCTCTTGTGAGTGGTCTCCCCAGAAGGGTATGACGCCGCTTCTGCTCGGATGCTGAGGCTGTTCAGCCTCGCCTCCAAAGGGCCACCCTGCCGCCTGCGGTGCAGGAATAGACGAGTGTAAAGAACCGTCGGTCTCGGAGGGGGCCACATTGTCGGCTTGAGACCAGGTCCAACCCCAGAAAGATGCAGGCAAAGTCTCCCACGAGTATGGCTCCGTAGCCCACGGCATCGAGTACCATGCATCTGCTGTATGATCCTCTGTCGAGTTGTCTGCGGACATATACGAGTTCGGGAGTGCGATTGCGCTAAGCGGGGGTCCCCAGCCTGCATTTACGCCAGTTTCGGATGGGAGAGTGCTGTTCTCATCATCGATAACCTCATACCTTTCCCCACGAGCAGTAACGTCTGCAGGGCACGTAATGGGTGAGCCTCGTTTAGCACCACTGTTTCTTGGGACGGCGACATCTGAAGCGCGGCCCATATCGGACACGCTCCATCGGTGTCCCTCCATAGATGCGCTGGCGTGAACCTCATATGCTCTTGAGGTGTCACTAGAGGGCTGGTCAGGATGAACCCTGCTGACTGGCGACCTCGCTGTGCGTGGTTCGGTAGACATCCTAGTACGATGGTTCACGCTCTCTCGAACTGACCGCGGAACGCAAGTACTCCCGCTTTTCTGGCACGCTTCGCAGGGTAAGGTGTGGGAACACTAATAGCCCGTTACGTTAGTCATACGCGCTGCTCACCGATTTCTCTTCATACTCTTCCAGTTCCTGGTGATTCTGCGCACCTTGACTTTTCGACGATGACACGTCTCACAAGCTCGATCCACTCTGTGCTGTTATCCTTCCATCAGCTAATGCTCACTTAGCAAACGGTGGTAGTTACACTTCATATTGAGGAGGGTGGAACATACACTTACCTTAATACGAAATGTGTTCAAGTGATATCGAAACGGTCGAACGAAGGGAACACAGTCGTTTCCGCTTTCATGGCACCTTTCACAGGGCCAGATGCGAGAACGCTAATACGCAGTATTAGTTAAAGACGCTGTCCACCGATAATGCTGCCATAGTATCAATTCTTGGATTTTGCGCACGTTTATCTTCAAGCGATGACACCTCCCACAAGGATGGTCTAAGAAGCGCTGCTATCCTTTCATCAGCTAATGCTCAATCAGCAGACAGCTGCTGCATTGTAGTAGAAGAGAGTAAATTATGAAAATACCTCAGTAGGCACGTTTAAAGACGTTCGGTGTTCCACGACAGGCTCGGTGGCATTGGTGTCCTCTCGCTGCTGACGGACCGGGGCCGCAACCGAGACAAAGGCTTCCGCTGCGGTCGCAGCTGCACCAAGCTGTTCGTTGTTTCCCAACGCGTGTCTTGACACTTGAGTATATATCTCCTCCAGCGGAGGCAGTGGCCGCTGTTCGTCCATGAGTCAAAGATGGCTTGTTGGTCCGAGCACTGATGCAAAAAAAAAAAAAAAAAAAAAAAGAAAAAAAAAAAAAAAAAAAAAAAAAAAAAAAAAAAAAAAAACGTTATGACTCGTGAGTAAATTAGAACTCGCCCAAAAGACCATGGTCTGGGTTTTTTTGTGTTCGCAATTAGCGGCCTGTCGTTCACCTTTATATAGCCTTGGTTTAACAGCAGACTCAAATCACGCAGCAGCAACATTGTATGATAGAATGACGCATGAAGAATGCTGGGCATCATCAATACACTCTCTTCTTGAATTATATAAGTGCACATCTTTTCCCCATCCTGTCAGTCTGCTGTACAATCTGCTCGGTAACAGCCAAAGTGATCTTCCAAATAGGCAGGAAACGGTTTCCCGTTCCTGTGACGAGTGACAGCAATCAGGGGAGCGGCGTCGCTCATAAGAGCAATATGCTGGCTCCCAGGGGCACACAAACAGTTTTTTGGAGCTGGGGCTGTGTTCCGGGGGGATTTGTGGCTCATGCAACCCCTGGGCTATGCCTCCCTACGTGGTCGCGGTGAACAGTCGTCCGCAGGAGAATGAGGTGCTATGGCCTTCGGTGCGGACATGGTCTCCTGGAAGTCATTGCTCAGTACCCAAACACGGGCCTCTGAGTTACCGTACGCACGCACTGTACGAAGAACTGAGAATAATTATGCATGAGATCGTCACATCTGAGGCTGCCGGAACTTGCCGCAAAAGCCGTATATGTTACTTACTGGCCTCCCATCGCAACCCGCAGCGTCCCTTCCATAAACCATTCCCCGTAAACTCTACACAGCTCATACGGAACAGACAGTATCAGTACAGCAGACTGACCGTTGACGGCTTCAAGTCCAGGGGCTGTGGTAGATTGGGAAACGAAGCTGGGAGAGTCAGTTATCCCTGGTTGCCCCGTGGCGACAGGGAAACAAGGCTGAGTGCCTGTGGAGTCATGCTCGGCAGGAGCCGTCTGGGGATAGGATGTCTACTGCTACCAGATCGAAGCAGCACTGCAATGGTCCAAGGCCATCTGAGTTCGATCCAATGCTTTTGGGATTGGTTCTCTCCTCTGCAGGGAGTGGTCCTGTCGAGTGCTCACTGACAAGATCATCGTTCAATAAAGTAGACCAAGCGTAAGGGGGAGAACACTGGCTGACCTTGGAGAAAGACTCCGAACGCAACGCCAAATTCGGAAAACGGACTCATGTATGCATACAGAAACACATATGTGAAAAAGAAACTATCATTTACCAACTCGCGCAGGCTCCGAGAGTCTACTTGTCGATTTCCGCTCTAAGACGCCTCCCAACAGCCCACGAATATGTGAGAGAGTAGAGTTTTATCCGAAGAACACGGTCATCAGTGCTAGCTGCTACGACGGTGATGCCCTTTCATTCATTGGGTTGGTATAATCTATGCAACTTTTATTTAGGGGATACGGGGGTGCCCGGGGAAAAGGTGCGAGGTTTGGATTGAGTGTATGCGTGCAGACACGCAGAAGACCGACTAGGACGAGTCTTCCTTCATTGGCACCTCCGAGGACCCCTTATTCATCGGGCTCGGACGTTAGACGTTCGTTGGTTATTCTTTTCCTGGATCCGACCGCGTGAAACCTGGCCCATGCTCCGTTTGCTGATAGGCGGACAAGATCGTGAATTAGGTGTCGAGTACTGCTGCCGAGCGAGATTGTTTGTCCGTGGAGCAGGCCTGCCCGCTATACAAGAGACAGTTTACCCACCCCAGCATCACCCAGTCCATCTGCACACCCAGGAGGCAATTTTATACATCAGACGTTCCTAAGCCGCTTCCAGCGAGCGTCAATATGCATTGCTTGCCACGATAGGCACCGCCATCATTGATCGGTATACGTGTGCGCATTCGCCCCAGAAAGAATATCGATTACTACGGCAGAGAAATTAGAATTGAAGAAGCTGCGTAAAGTCATCAGAGCCGGGTGCAATGTCATGGTTGTTGTCAAATGAAACCCCTCCGTCCTCCTGTATAGTCCACATATCCGGCGCCACTGTCGTTGCCGGTAGAGCAGTTCTCAAGGCGGCAGGGTCCGCATTTTCCGGTAAACCAGCAGGGCTCCAAAGCCGCTGGTGCCAATTCGTGACGGTATGCTGCATTTCAAGCACCAATTGTTGAGTATTTTGTCGCTCGGAAAGCTGTTGTTTTCACCGATGCTGGTCGTTCACCAGCTTCTGCTTCTTACTCCCGACGACTCGAAGGCGCTCCGACAGGGTCTTCTTGTCCCTCTCCAACGCTTCAAATTCCTGCTCCAGGGTTTCGACGGTAGCCAAACATGCCTCGTGGTTCTCCAACGATGGGGCAGAAGGAGGGTCTCGTGAACCAGAGCCAGGTACCTATACCAGCTAGTAGGTACGTGGAGTCAGCGGAACGATCCGGGACTTGCAACCGTACGTGAAGGCTTACCGTGGATGGGCGTCGACGGGACCGCAGAGGCTGCTGGGGAGAACGCATTACGGGCTCCAGTCTTTGGATGGATCGTGGGTCGGAAGCGGTACTGCGACTCTCGATCTTCCGGGTATTTGCGCGGATGCCCGCCCGCGGTTCTGACTTTGGCATTTCCCGATGACAACAGAACTCGTAAAGAAACAACTGCGTATGTACCGTGCTGAAGGAGAAACTAGCTGGAGAAATTTAAATGCCTGCGAGAGGGAGTGAGCGCCATTGGCTATGGAAGGTGGGTTTTAAGCAACAAGGTTAGCCAAAGCAGGTTAGGGCTAACCGCCCATTGGTTATTTTGGCACATGATCAATTTCGCCCCTCTACTACATCATTAACTCAGCTCATGGAGTAGCTTGATTGTCCGATATTGGCAGCTCTGTAAATACGTTCATGTCTCCTGGCTGGTCAAAAAGTCAATTCCACTCAACGCTCTCGAGTTGATAGTGCTTGTATATATCCCGGATATATATATATCTGACGGTTCATGTACAGAAGATTATTGGTAGGCATAAATAAGAATCACGAGCGACAAGGCTTAGTTTTGTAGTAATCTAGGGTAGTATCATATACAAGCTCCAGTACATCCAAATGCTTGCCTCTCTGCTTCATGCCCTAAGCCCAGAGGTCGAAACCCGAGGACATAAATATTCCTTCGGTGCTCATTCGGATTCCCCAGGCGGACATCAAGTTGAACCCCTGCAATAATTTCCCGAAAAGGACTAGATCCGGGCCTTGCCGAGCCGGCCCCAGCAAATGTTGCTGACTCAAGGCCACAACGATCAACTAACTAGAAGGAGATCAAATGACGCGCGCCCGCCCGGGCAATCTCACGTTTTCGAACAAATTAATGCCCGCAGAGATCGGCCGGAGAAGACGGTATCGCAAATTACTTGACCGCGATCAGGGACCTCAGAAGGCGATCATCACATGCTTAAAGACGCATGCCACATTCGGCCTGCTCAATTCCTCAGCATGGAGCCGAATCCTGCTGCGCCAAAGTCAAAGCAGGATTGGGAATCCGGGTTTTGAAGCACGGCGAGAAGCCGTCTGAATGACGGGCATTTTGTGTGTAATAAACTGACCAGCTAGCATCAGCAAGCGCAAGCAGGGATTTCTGCGTCAGCCGAATACAAGTCAACCCTACTTACACTTGTTACCGGTACAACAAAACTCACCACGAAAGCTAGATCGGTAGTCTCGTCGGATGATTTGCCCCGTTTGCGAGCCACCGGGCTCCCGGTTTCCCATATTCCGGAGTTGCCCAGGTCTTGCTTTGCTGCCTCATTATTCAGGCACAAAATATACTCCTAAATATTATAAACACCTTCTGTATATCAAATATATCGAATATATTAAAATACATGTAAAACATGTATTATGTATTACCAGCTATTTTAAGCAGCGATAAATCTATGAAAAAAATATTAAAATCAATCGTATTATGTTTGTAAACTGTAAATCCATTATGAAGTCTTGAACTCTTCTAGTGGTTGAAATATTCTAGTTCAAAAAAGAGTGCCTTTTGTATGGCATTATTGGATGGACCGCTCGACCATGAGGGCCGCGCGATCGTGGTATACGTTACGGTCTTCACCGCCACCCCGTCAGCCGACATGTGACCGATTCTATGGATGCCCTGGATTACTGTGATTAACTACCACCACGCACGAAATACAAAGCATGGAATACAAGGAACTATAGAGAAGCTAATGCAAATTCCGGACATACCTTGGCTACTTGAACTCAGTTTGCAGGGCGGCAACGTCTCTGCGCACTCATGGAGTATGAACCTATCATCTTCAGTCAACATAAATCATCGTAACAAATCCGATCCTGCAACTCGTGTACGGTAGAATAGATAAAAAATACAACAGCAACTGCATTGATCGCCGAGCGCAACGCTTCTTTTCCTCGAACCCCTGTCCCGCCTCTTATATTACTGTGGGTCCTCCGATGGAGGTTCCGGAAGTGGGTGGGCCTAGATCTCCTGGTTTAAATGCTACCCAGAATGTTTAATCTCTGATTGGAGAGACCCACATCACCCGGTCAAAACCTCTTCCTCGTTTTGGCAGGTTGCTTTGAAAGTGCGTGCCTACGGGCTGATCTTAGCCTCCGCCTGTTGGAGCGATCCGACTCATCTCTATACTTGCAAGGAAAGATGAACCTGAACCAGTCCGGGAAGTTCATCCTTGCCCCAGACAACACGTAACGAGAAGTCTAGATTGGCCCTACAGTTGCATTGAGTCAGACACAGCTTGAGTGTGGTTGTGATAGTCCAAAATATCGCTCTGACGGGCCCAGACATGCGAAGACAGTCAGCCCAGTAGGATCCGATGTGTCTGATGGGTCGCAACAGCCAGACATATCGGTCTCGAATTAATATGGGCTCACTTTTACTGGACATTTACAAGGATTAGACTGACGGCCGCACGTAGTAAGGCCAGATCACGTTGGGACCGTCTCGGCTCTCCTCAACTCTACGGTTAGATCATATAGGACCGCTGGACAGTCAGAAATCACTGCAAATAGTTGGCACGTTAATCGAACAAGACCCTGTCTACCTTTGACTCTCGTGGGAGGGAGCATTTGAGTCAGAACCGTCGAACCCCTGTTCGATAGGAGAAAGTACCGATGAACAGGTTTGCACTAATGGGTTGCTTTGACAGGGGTCCTCACGCATTGTGAGATGAACCGTATCTCCGGGTCAACGACCGTGTGGGAAGATGTTTTCCCCGGCTTTATCATTCCGTCTGTTCAGTGACGGCTTGTTCCTCACTGGGCTTGGAGACATCTCGTACTGGGAACCCCTTCTTGAGTCCCGACTTTAGCAAATCAAGAGACAATGCAGGCTGAACTGATGCGAGAAATCGAGGACAAAACGGTGACTACAGCTATACTGGATGTTGTGAATATCACTAATTCAACAGCAGCGGGCTTTCAACCGAGCTCTGGATGAACTGCATAACGACCAGGGAAGTCGGGAAAGTGTGACCGAATCTGTGGTAACAGATAATCCTCTATAATATTAGATCAATTCCCAGACTAAACGTTCTCTAGCTCGAGTTGATTAACGTGGTTTGGCGGACATCAGCACAAGGAAGGAGTGATTCGACCAATCTTCGCCAGGTCATCCGTTATGTCTCAAACTTACTTCGCCCCGGCGACCAGGACGAGTTGCTGCCATTCCGCTCGAAGCCCTCGCCTACATACAATAGCGTTGACATGCCGTCGTCCGCTAATCCATCATATATAGAGAGAGAAGGCGCGGAGCACACGACCGCACGCGCAAAGAGCCTTCTAGATCGAGTGGATGGTCTTCAGACAGGCCAAGTGGAGACAGATTTCCTGAACATGGCTATCTCACCTAGCGACCTTGCCGCTATCTTTCCAGAAGACTTCTATGGGAATATGTTAAATAATGAAATGGAATTGGCGCCTCAAATCTCTCAATCTCAGGGTTTCGAGACATCGATGGCAATGGTTGACACTATGGAAGACTCGGGTCTGCACTCACTTACGCCAGGAGATGATTCTTCGCTGCTATCACAGTTGACTCCTCAATTGGATAACAGTACGGGCTTGGACTTACAACCATATACGTCGACTGAGTTCTGGGAGGCATGGTTGGCTGAGTTAGTTCCAATGGCCTGTCCTGACTCGCCCGCAGGTCTAGGGGCTCCCATTGCAACCCCAAGCAATGACCTTTACCACAGCTTGAATGGGCTGGTGCCTGTCACACCTGATCTGCATGATCATCTTGATGAGAGCGAGGTTCTCGCAGGACTATTTGTTTCCAGTACTCCAACGTCAACCAGTATTGCGATCAATGTGGACGACATTGCCACCGGCCTAGAGAACAAGGATTCAGAGCCCGAAGTGATTGAGCAGATATTCAGATTGGATAGCTTTCCCGCATAGGCTACGTCCAAGAGGGGTTTCGTCCAGACTCTGCCCCGAGAGTTGACGGGCGCTGACCAGCCGATCGGGGAGGCGACAGAGAAGTACTTTGCATGCAAGTTGACGGCGATACAAAGACACTCCTGAAGCTTAGATAGGGAGATGCGCGGAGCTTAGAGGACTGAGGGAGTGCCTACACCGCTCCCGCTTATGGTTGACGAATCTAATAATTCATCGTTTGTGGAAATCCAACCCCAAGCAGACCGTATGAACGAGCGCAGAAGCACTGCGGTAGTTGCCTCAGGATTGGGGAATACTTCACTCGACCACTGTATCAAGGAATGAAGATAGCACCGCAGTGGGATATCCAGGATCAAGGCGTATCAACGGGAGCCGTCCGTGGGTCCGAATATGTTGGATTACCTGCTGGTGAGTGAAGTGGATGGATGTCGAGGTATCAGTACCTGCTGGTTACTGGTTGAGCCTTGCCCGCGATATTTTCATGGTTCAAAAGTCGCAGTAAGCGGCAATTGCTTGCTTCGTCTTAGCGATTCTGTTGGTATACCGTTGTGTAAACATGGGACTGCCTAATAAGGTCTACTCGGGTGTTGAAGACATGGCTGACGAACAGAGGATGAAGCTAGGTTGGACATCCGTGCCATCTTGGCCCAAACCAAGGGCCATCATGTAGCACGATATTCCTCAAGGTTTGGGAAGGAAAAGAACGACAGGATAGCTACGACAAGCAACACTGAAAGAGCAAACATTCGCTGAAGCAAATAGACTACGGGCGGGAAAAAGAAAGGGGGCCAGAGAGAGATTGAAAGAAAGAGGATAAGACAAAACAACTCTGTTTGAAAAGCCCAGAAGACTATAAAGCAAGACAAGGATAATCGAGCATGTCTAGAGACTCCACTGGCTCAGTCTTAGCCTACCTAGACCCTTTCGTAAAAACCTCCATGCTGCAGTAATGGGTTCAAAATTAGGTACAGACACGCAAAGTGCTCCACATAACTTAATGTTGAGAACTATAGGCGTTATCACGGCGTTGCGTGGCATAAAGGCCTCCCATTCCCACCTTATCTGGTAACCCTGAAGGGGGCGGGGAGACGGGCAGCGCGACTGTGGTAACTGCGTGGGGTGGTGTGGTATTGGGAAAACAAAGGTCTCCAGCAATGCACCCTTCCCACAGGACTAATCTGAAAATGGGTTTGAGAAGATAAATGGCAATGGACTGGTCACGAACTTGTTGCGTCGCAAGGCAGCGCTAACTGCGATTCAGCTCCCATGTCACACAAGGATATGCCGATCACATTGGCTGAGGTTGTTGCCAGCAGGGGGAGAGGCCGGGACAGACACCTCGCGTCCCACTCACGGACGTGAAGACCCACTTCACCGAACCAGAGAAGTAACTGTGATCAACTGCACAGCTTCCTTGTCCAACTGCGAACGCCGCAGACGGTCGGATGTGGTCTAGTGCCGAAGTTCTCTTTGACAACTGATCCCTTTCTCTCGGGGTCAACAGGGCAGACTGCTCTCGCTCTCTAGCAGCTGGTACACCAGCGCGGTACAAAACAGTGATTTCCGGGCAATGTAACGCAGGACTGTCCCATTGCTATCCTCCCCATTTGGGATGACTTTTCCACTATGTTCTCGAAGAAGAGATCTGACCGACGGGCTTTGTCGTGAGGGCCGGAAACCTCTACTGCGATGCAGCTCACTCTTTGTGCAGGCACTAATTTTCCTTCCCTTGACTCCTCATGTGCTCATGCAGCTTGTCATAGCTCTCCGTCAGCTCAAAATCTCCTATGACATTGCACGGTAGCGTATTATAGATAGAACTTACCCAACTTTAGCTTCAAGTCTGGATAATACGGATCAACGCCTCACTAAGGGCAATGACAGCTGTGTTTTGGAATGCTATGGGACGGGAATTATTCGTAGGTCAATGGCCTGGGACTGCTTTCACACGACCGCTAAATAAGCGCTAATGCCGATACCATGACTCTAGACATGGAGTCACAAGGAGCCGAGTGTAACCTTGACAGTCCTGTGGCAGTATAAGGTGATCGACCTGGAAAGTGGTCAAACCTTGTGCGATCAGGTTAACTAGCTTGCACGCGGCCCGGAACGATTGGGGCTGGAATCCCTGGCTTGAGGTTTTGAGCTATCAGAAGACAAATAATTCGTCGATGGATGCGATAAAGGAACCCTTGGTGCAAGCAGGTGAAACAGTAAAATGATACAGGCTCTCTAGAATCTGACCTTCACCCTCTTAGGGCATTCTAAAGAAGAACCCAGTGATACGCGCAAAATGCGCAAGATGTTCTCAACACAATGCATTGGATTCAGGATTGTTCTGATATCGATGGGTTTGTCCCAACTCCCAACACGCGCAGAGCATTCGGCTCCCGCTCGTCTCTTGGCCTTATGTTCAGCATTAATCCGCGTGATCGATGTAAGGGTGAATCACTTCTCTGGTTTACTAGCGGCGTTGTGTGAGGTTGTCGAGGGTTTATTCCACGCGCGGAAGAAATAGTGGGGAAACGGCGACTCAACCCCAGGCGTATCTATGGATGACCGTAAGATGCATCCCTTACCAACTGATGGGGGCTGACAGCACGATAGGGGCATACATAAGATGTCTTCGGGTTGCGTAAGCGGAGATAGGATGTTGTGCTGTTTGCAGGTCTGGAAATCGGGAATCCCATAAGTAGAAAAAAGTAACAGTGAACCGCCAGGGTTTTCTGAGGGTAATGTCTCGTCGCTGCGCTGCAGGTTAGTCATTCTCATGCCAGGCGAATTCTTGTCTCTAAAATGAGTTACCAATCCTTGGGGCAAGCAGGTGGGCAAATTGAAGATCTCGAAAGATCAGCTAGAGATTGACCTTGAGCAAAATCTTTTGCTGTGGTCCTCTTCGGTTCCCCTTCGCGAGGAAATTCCAGTTCGGCCACCTGCCGATATGGCAACTCTAATCATTCTAATCGACAGCACGATTTTTCGGGTACGTCCAAGCGACCTCAAGCTTCTGATCCTGTTCGATGCCGTTAAAGCCACAATTGCCGATGCAAAGGTCATCGGTTAACTGAGAGGGTGCTGGCCTGTCAAGGTCACGTCGGTTCCAGATCCGCCTTCAACTAAAGGGCAGTTCTGCTCTTTGCGGCAATATGAAGTGGCTGCATGGAGTCTGCTTGGTCGGTCCCAATTAAGGAAAGCATCAAATTTTCTGTAGTCCTGTTGAGATTTGACCGCTCTGGGCGAGGAACTAGCCCACGGCGTTTTGACCCGCAGCAAAGCAGGTTGTCGCAGACTTCAACCATTACTGTGTTTCACTTTTTTCTGCAACGAACGTGAACGGTTCTTCTTAGAGTTCTGAAATATCACGCCGCCCGGAAAGCGGTTGTATCAATTGATGCTGCCCATTCAACCGATTTTGCTTGTGTGGTTCGAATATTCCCAAGTGGTCTCCGCTAAACTGCAAAAGACTTGGACGAGCAGAAACGCAGCCGCATACTCACTTAGCCCAATTCCGACGTTTCTGCTGCTCTCTGTACTTATACTATAGCTATGATTGTACCAAATACACTGTACAGTAGCAAATACTCAAGGTCAGTATGCCTCGAAAAACATGGCTCCTCTTGTTACAGAGCAGTACAACGCGAAAGTCGTGTTACACCGTCCGGCGGAGTGATAAGCGGATTCGCAGGAACATTGCCGCTGACGGATAGCGGTTGGTTGGATGGCCCAGCAACTGATTAGTAAAGCACCAGCCGCGGCGGTATGCCGTCCCCACCGTGAAGAACCCTGGCGGAGAGTTCTACCAGCATGTCTCCGTCACGGCTCGTGCCTACTGCCTTGTGCGACCGGAGACACGGTATGCTAACCGCCACAGCCGATTGATATCATCAGATGTAGTTGGTGCCCGAGGCGATGCTCCATGCTCACTTCCGTTTCCTGCTCCTAAGAAGGTTGTGAGTGTCAGAGGGCTTCGATCACGGCACGGGGGCATGCTCTTACCGGGGGAATTACTGTTGTAATTCAAAGGAAGCTTGATTATTATTATTCAGAGGGAAACATGAGGCTATATATACAACGAGAAGATCAACTTGATTTCCAATCAAGTTGATTCTTCGTATACATACTTCGGGATTAATTCCGATGGTTCGGCTTGGTTCCTGATCTGCACCAGCCTCATATCACAACATTCCCCCTCAGGATCGCTTTGCTGGCAGGGCGATACTGGAATTCCGCAGAGCAGTCAGGCCTCGGTAAAACCACTCAAAAAAAAACTTTTTCTGGGAAAATGCAGTGGAAAGAGCGCCTGTGCTGTCTTATGCATGTTGCCTTGGAGTCTCTGAGGCGTCGATTCCTAAGAGACTACAAAACTTGACAAAGGACGTAGGTCCCAGTGGCTTGGTGAGACCATCTGCGGCCTGTTCCTCAGTTGGAACATATTGAAGCCCAATCTCGCCTGCATCCAGCACGGCTCGCTGATAGTGAAATTTCACGTTAAAATGCTTCGTCCGTTTGTGGAATTCCGGGTTGCGAGAAAGAGCAATGGCGGACTGGTTGTCAGCCATGATGTTGGTGACCGGAGACCGATACAGTTGTGTTTCAGCCAGAAAGGTGCGGAGCCACTGCAGATGCAGAATGGCATTGTATTGTCCGATGTATTCCGCGTGTGTCGTAGACGTGGCTACTTCCCCCTGTCTCTTGGACGACCAGGAAACTGGCGCCCCTGCAAGCTGGA